GTATTTCTACTCCACTACAGTTCAGAGGTAAACTGTGTACTTCTACTCCACTACATGTATTTATACCTTTAGTTACTTCACAGATGTGGATAAATGATGTGAAATATAATCAAGTGTTAAATCAGACTTTAGTTCCACCTGGAGTAAATCCACAAGCTACCCTGCAGTATACAAAGTCATTCAAACTAGCTGCACCTTTACCAGCTTTGAGAACACTTTCATGATCAATCATTATAAAACATATCATATATATTATTCTGAAATGGACCAATCTGCACAACGACTACTTTTACTGTCGCTACTTTAACTATATTTTGATGAGAATACTTTTCTACTTTCACTTGAGGAACATTTTGAATGCAGGACTTTTACTGTAACAGAGTATTCCTACACTCTGGTACTTCTACTTTTACTCAAGTACAAGATCTGAGTACTTCTACTTTTACTCAAGTACCAGATCTGAGTACTTCTACTTGTACTCAAGTACAAGATCTGAGTACTTCTACTTGTACTCAAGTACAAGATCTGAGTACTTCCACTTTTACTCAAGTACCAGATCTGAGTACTTCTACTTTTACTCAAGTACAAGATCTGAGTACTTCCACTTTTACTCAAGTACAAGATCTGAGTACTTCTACTTGTACTCAAGTACAAGATCTGAGTACTTCTACTTTTACTTTAAACTCCTGTATTCTTTAAAAAGACGTTGCTATTTTATGTTTATATATTTGTTATATACGTCATATATTTTAACTGTTTTTATTTTAAACAGATATTTTTTTCTTCTGTGTTTATATATAATATAATTGTTTTCTATTTGAATTGAATACTTTATATATATTTATATTCTCCTGTGTCCCCCGGCAGCTGAAGGTGGTGGCGATGGATGAGAACCTGAACGTGGTTCATCAGAACAATGTGCAGTTTGACTCAGATCTACCTGAGTTTAGGTAACACACACACACACACACACACACACACACACACACACACACACACACACACACACTAATAGTAGTACTTGTTGTAGTAGTCTGTGTCTAGATATTGACATGTTTCTCTAAAGTCTTAAAGAGAGAGAGGGAATGTTTTGGTGGGAAAAAGGTTAATTTCTACAACAGAAAATCTTCCACCTTTGAAAATATTGTTCTATCATTAAAATCTTTTATTTTGAAACCCCAGGACTCAGGGAGGGGTTCATATCCACGCTGACAGACTGACGGTGACCTCGCCTGTCCTCATGTGGGTGAAGGTAGGACCAGTTTGAGACATTTTAACATTCATATAATGTGACCAGTTAAAGAATGACCTCACTGTCTGGTGCTGCGTTCTGATTGGCTGTCGTGTGTCTGTGTCATCAGGCTCTCGACATGTTATTGGACAAGATGAAGGAGGCGGGGTTTGATTTCTCGAGGGTTAAAGCGCTCTCTGGCTGCGGACAGGTGAACAAACTACACACAGAAATAATGTTTATATATTAACACTTTCACTAACATGTCAATCAAACACTTATCGACATGTTTACCTTAATGTGTGTGTGTCAGCAACACGGCAGTGTGTTCTGGACCAGAGGAGCGTCTGAGACTCTGACGAACCTCCAACCGGACCAGAGCCTGGAGACACTGCTGCAGGTGTGTGTGTGTGTGTGTGTGTGTGTGTGTGTGTGTGTGTGTGTGTGTGTGTGTGTGTGTGTGTGTGTGTGTGTGTGTGGTGTGTGTGTGTGTGTGTGTGTGTGTGTGTGTGTGTGTGTGTGTGTGTGTGTGTGTGTGTGTGTGTGTGTGACAATAACAAAAAATTAGACAACAGCAATTACTTACAGAATACAGAATACATATGTAACCTAAAAATAATAACAATAATACAGACAAACAGAAATATAATAAAACAAAAGTCTCCCACAGGTTGTTGACATCCTCGTGGATTCATCTTCTTATTACAGACGCATGCATTTCCAAACATTTGGTCTACCTACGCTGTAAATGTATTATCTCTTCGATGTACACACGGCATCTATTGCACGTGTGTCCGTCCTGGGAGAGGGACCCTCCTCTGATGCTCTCCTGAGGTTTCTCCCATGTTCCTTTAAACTGAGGGGTTTCTCTGGAAGTGTGTCCTTGTCCGATGTGAGGGTCCGAGGACAGAGCGGGTCGTATTGATATTCTTTACAGACTGTGAAGTCCACTGAGACATTGATTGATCCTCAGGACAGCTTCTCCGTGCTGGCCTCTCCTGTGTGGATGGACTCCAGCAGCAGGAAGCAGTGTGATGCTCTGCAGGAAGCAGCAGGGGGCGCTCTGAGGCTGGCTCAGATCACCGGCTCCACAGCCTATGAGGTCAGTGGCAAGTTCCTTAATAGTGTAATCAACATAATGCTGCATTCATTTATGTCTAATTTATTATTATAATTTTTTTTGCTGTTCTTAATTTCTGCACAAATATTTTTCCAGTTTTTATTTATTGACTAATTTGGTCCTATATGTACCTTTTTTGTGTGTGTGTGTGTGTGCGTGTGTGTGTGTGTGCGTGCGTGCGTGCGTGCGTGCGTGCGTGTGCAGCGTTTCACAGGAAATCAGATCGCCAAAATAAGAGCGACACGACCCGAGGAATTCCAGAAAACTGAGGTCCGTCTGCAACTTTCATTTTAACTTTGCAATAAATCGGTCATACTGTCTGCATAACATTTAATGTGTGTGTGTGTGTGTGTGTGTGTGTGTGTGTGTGTGTGTGTGTGTGTGTGTGTGTGTGTGTGTGTGTGTGTGTGTGTGTGTGTGTGTGTGTGTGTGTGTGTGTGTGTGTGTGTGTGCGTGCGTGCGTGCGTGCGCGTGTGTGCGTGCGGTGTGCGTGTGTGTAGAGGATCTCGTTGGTCAGCAGCTTCGCGGCGTCCCTCTTCCTCGGAGGTTACGCCGCCATCGACTACAGCGACGGTACACAGACTGTTTTATTAAAATGAAATCATCACACTTATTATTTATTGTTCTATTTGTTTTCCCACAGTACATCCGTAGAAAACATGAATGAAATATCTTGATCTATTCCCTGAGCTACGGTAGAATGAACAAACTACTGATGAGCAGTTCTATCACCAAAAGAAAAAGGTTGCTTGGTCTCATCACCCACATATTGTAATGTTCGTCTAACTGTTATTACTCCTGCAGGAGTTACGAACGTCCTGTCTGTTATTGTTTAAAGTTGCACATCAAGAAAGAGGACAATGAGCTGTTCCCTTATTGTTCACTGCTCCCTGTAACTGCACGTATATCTCTGATCTGCCCTCAGGCTCGGGGATGAACCTGCTGGACATCCGGAGCAGAAACTGGTCTCAGATCTGTTTGGAGGCGGTTTCTCCTCAGCTGGACCTCCTGCTGGGAGACCCTAAACCCTCCTCCTCCATTCTGGTGGGTGTTTCACATTTCATGAGGACAGACAGGAAGTGGGGACACCTTTTAATGTGACACCTTCCTGTCCCGCAGGGTCCCGTCTCCTCATACTTTGTGAAGCGATACGGTTTCTCTGAGAGCTGCAGAGTGGTGGCTTTCACCGGAGACAACCCAGGTAAATACATATATATATATATACACAGATATTCATGATTTAAAAACAGAGAATAAAATCCTGAATTTAATCTCAGGAGTTTTAATTCTTCATAAATAAATCCAATTTCAGAATATTATTCAAGTACATTTGTATTTTTTTTCGTACATGTTTGACATTAATCCATTTTCTTTCTTCACAAATACTTCCCCTGTACCTTATTAATATGTATTTGTATTGATATAATTGATATGTATTTTATCTCGTCTTTTCAATGGTTCTCAAACAAAGCCTTATTGATTTATTGCTATATTGTCTTTTTTACATAACATTGAGTTTCTGTTCCTGCCATTCTGTTGTCTGACCACAAGGTGGCGCTGTTGTTGCGTGAGTTTGTGTAAATGCCAATTTTCAGTCAAAATATTTACCTTTTTTTAAATTAAATATTCTTCCCATTCTCAGTTTTCTTTATTCTAAATAAATAATAATTTCGTAAAATAATGACTTATTCTTTCCTCTTGTACTGGTTTATTTTAGAGCTTCCCTGCTTTAATAAAAACTCTTTTCTCTGTATCTGACGAGCTCATTAATCTGTGTGTCCCCAGCAGAGACCTGATCATATATAATATATATATTTCTTTATTAATGCAATGTGTTTCCTCTCCTCAGCGTCTCTGGCAGGCATGAGGCTGCAGCAGGGAGACATCGCCGTGAGTTTCATATTGTTTATGTTGTTTGTTTATGTAAATATTAAAGAAATTAAAGCTGCAGGATAAATGTAGTGACGTAGAAGTATACATAGCAGGAAATATAAATACTCAAGTCAAATAAAAGGACCTCAATCTGTAGGAAATGATAACTGTGTGTGTGTGTGTGTGTGTGTGTGTGTGTGTGTGTGTGTGTGTGTGTGTGTGTGTGTGTGTGTGTGTGTGTGTGTGTGTGTGTGTGTGTGGTGTGTGTGTGTGTGCTGTGTGTGTGTGTGGTGGTGTGTGTGTGTGTGTGTGTGTGCACCTGTGTGTGTGTGTGTGTGTGTGTGTGTGCAGGTGAGTCTGGGCACCAGTGATACGGTGTTTCTCTGGCTCGCGGCCCCTCGCCCGGCGCTGCAGGGGCACGTGTTCTGCAGCCCCGTCAGAGAGCAGGCCTTCATGGCGCTGCTCTGGTAACTCAACTTTTATAAATCACCGTCACACTTCATCCTGTTCATTTCTAACATCATCGATCTCTCTCAGTTTTAAGAACGGCTCTCTGACGAGGGAGCGCGTCAGGAACCAGTGTGCAGGTGCATCATGGGAACTTTTCTCCGCCGCCTTGAGAGACACGCCGCTGGGAAACGGAGGAAACATTGGTGAAGCTCACTTCCTTTTACTACAACCTCACTTCCTTTTACTACAACCTCACTTCCTTGTACTACTACCTCACTTCCTTGTACTACAACCTCACTTCCTTTTACTACAACCTCACTTCCTTGTACTACTACCTCACTTCCTTGTACTACAACCTCACTTCCTTGTACTACAACCTCACTTCCTTGTACTACAACCTCACTTCCTTGTACTACTACCTCACTTCCTTTTATTACAACCTGACTTCCTTGTACTACTACCTCACTTCCTTTTACTACAACCTCACTTCCTTTTACTACTACCTCACTTCCTTTTACTACAACCTCACTTCCTTGTACTACAACCTCACTTCCTTGTACTACAACCTCACTTCCTTGTACTACAACCTCACTTCCTTGTACTACTACCTCACTTCCTTGTACTACAACCTCACTTCCTTGTACTACAACCTCACTTCCTTGTACCTACAACCTGACTACCTTGTACTACAACCTCACTTCCTTGTACTGACAAACCTCACTTCTTGTACTACATCACTTCTTGTACTACACCTCACTTCTTGTACTACAACCTACTTCCTTGTACTACAACCTCCCGTCCTTTATACAACCTCACTTCCTTTTACTACAACCTCACTTGCCTTGTACTACAACCTCACTTCCTTGTACTACTAACCTCGCTTCCTTGTACTTACTACACCTCACTTCCTTTTACTACAACCACTTCCTTGTACTACAACCTCACTTCCTTGTACTACTACCTCACTTCCTTGTACTACAACCTCACTTCCTTGTACTACTACCCACTCCTTTCCTACAACCTCACTTCCTTGTACTACAACCTTCACTTCCTTGTACTACAACCTCACTTCCTTGTACTACTACCTCACTTCCTTGTACTACTACCTCACTTCCTTTTACTACAACCTCACTTCCTTGTACTACAACCTTACTTCCTTGTACTACTACCTCACTTCCTTGTATACACTCACTCCTTGTACTACTACCTCACTTCCTTTGTACTACAACCTCACTTTCTTGTACTACCTCAATTCCTTTTACAAAACCTCACTTCCTTGTACTACAACCTCACTTCCTTGTACTACAACCTACTTCCTTGTACTACAACCTCACTTCCTTGTACTACTACCTCACTTCCTTGTACTACAACCTCACTTCCTTGTACTATACCTCACTTCCTTGTACTACTACCTCACTTCCTTTTATAAACCTCTCACTTTCTGTACTACTAACCTCACTTCCTTACTACAACCTCATTCCTTTACTACAACCTCACTTCCTTGTACTCAATCACTTCCTTGTACTACAACCTCACTTCCTTGTACTACTACCTCACTTCCTTGTACTACAACCTCACTTCCTTGTACTACAACCTCACTTCCTTGTACTACTACCTCACTTCCTTGTACTACAACCTCACTTCCTTGTACTACAACCTCACTTCCTTGTACTACAACCTCACTTCCTTGTACTACAACCTCACTTCCTTGTACTACTACCTCACTTCCTTGTACTACAACCTCACTTCCTTGTACTACAACCTCACTTCCTTGTACTACTACCTCACTTCCTTGTACTACAACCTCACTTCCTTGTACTACAACCTCACTTCCTTGTACTACAACCGTACTTCCTTGTACTACTACCTCACTTCCTTGTACTACAACCGTACTTCCTTGTACTACTACCTCACTTCCTTTTATTACAACCTCACTTCCTTTTACTACAACCTCACTTCCTTGTACTACAACCTCACTTCCTTGTACTACTACCTCACTTCCTGTACTACTACCTCACTTCCTTTTACTACAACCTCACTTCCTTGTACTACAACCTCACTTCCTTGTACTACAACCTCACTTCCTTGTACTACTACTACCTCACTTCCTTGTACTACTACCTCACTTCCTGTACTACTACCTCACTTCCTTTTACTACAACCTCACTTCCTTGTACTACAACCTCACTTCCTTGTACTACAACCTCACTTCCTTGTACTACTACCTCACTTCCTTTTACTACAACCTCACTTCCTTGTACTACAACCTTACTTCCTTGTACTACTACCTCACTTCCTTGTACTACTACCTCACTTCCTTGTACTACTACCTCACTTCCTTTTACTACAACCTCACTTTCTTGTACTACTACCTCACTTCCTTTTACTACAACCTCATTTCCTTGTACTACAACCTCACTTCCTTGTACTACAACCTTACTTCCTTGTACTACAACCTCACTTCCTTGTACTACTACCTCACTTCCTTGTACTACAACCTCACTTCCTTGTACTACTACCTCACTTCCTTGTACTACTACCTCACTTCCTTTTACTACAACCTCACTTTCTTGTACTACTACCTCACTTCCTTTTACTACAACCTCACTTCCTTGTACTACAACCTCACTTCCTTGTACTACAACCTCACTTCCTTGTACTACAACCTCACTTCCTTGTACTACTACCTCACTTCCTTGTACTACAACCTCACTTCCTTGTACTACTACCTCACTTCCTTGTACTACAACCTCACTTCCTTGTACTACAACCTCACTTCCTTGTACTACAACCTCACTTCCTTGTACTACAACCCATTACATTACATTTCTCTCTCTGACTTGTGATCTGTTTTGCCTCCAGGCTTTTATTTTGACAGTCAGGAGATCACGCCTCCTGCAGTCGGAGTTCATCTCTTCGACCCTCAGGACGTCCAGGTGAGTTTCTATCATCTCCTCACCTCACCTGAGCCTTTCCTATCCTCCCTGAATCACCTGTCCCCCCCCCCCCCCCCCCCCCCCCTGCAGGTGTGCTCCTTCAGTCCTCAGGTGGAGGTGCGCTCGCTGGTCGAGGGTCAGTTTCTGTCCCGGAGGCTCCATGCTGAGCGGCTGGGATACTCCATCAGTGAGAGACACACTCTTTAATATCCGTGTTTTAATGCAGGATGTGCTTTTATTTTGGCGGGGAGAATTAATAACGTTAATAGCTTTTATATTCTGCAGGTGTCGTGCGTTCATTAAACGTCATGTTTGTCTCTTTTAGTCCCGGGAACCAGAGTGTTGGCAACCGGAGGAGCTTCGTCTAATAAAGAGATTCTGCAGGTCGGTTATTCATATTTATTTATTTTTGTATTTTATTTTGTATTATTATTTCTAAATGATTCTCCTTCCTGTCTCTCAGGTGTTGAGTGACGTCTTTAACGCTCCAGTCTTCACCCTCGACGTCTCTAACTCCGCTTGCCTGGGATCAGCTTACAGAGCTCTGCACGGTGTGAAAACAACAACAACAATAATAATAGTCTGTATTTGTAAAGCACCTTTCGTACAACACGTGCGGTCCGACGTGCTTTGATATCACACAGAGTACAGATACCAGTTGAAGACATACAAACTAACTGCATAGAGTAACATCTAACACTTACACACATTAGACACAGATTTAGGCTCCGTTCACACGGAAACGAAACGGAGAACGAACCGAATTCGATATCAAAAAGGTCTTCCGTCAACACGAGACCGCTCGACCCGCTGGACACGCTGCAGTACATATGCCGGGCCTGTAAGTGGCGCTGTACTTCCGCCACAAAATACACCAAAAGCAGCGAAGAAGACCCCCCGAGCATGGTTGCCATGGTTACCCTTCTGGTTATTCTCCGCGGTGGATTTAGCAACATGGAGTTCATGTAGTTCTCCATGTCCACTTGTTGCTGAGGAGCTGTAGATGTTGCGCTAACATCTGTAGCATGGTCAGTAGCTAGTGACAGTAGCTACAGATGTTAGCAGGCGGGGAGAGGCGGGGCTATGGCGTCATCGTTATCAGGAAATGATTGTATAGGGCGTACACACGGAGCCGTTTGGCCCCCCAGAGCGTTCCGGTTGCAGATCTATGCACCTTGGGACCCGTTATCGTTTGCGGGGTCCGTTACGGCCTCGTGTGAACGAACGGGCTATACGTGAGAGAAAAGTAGCAGACACAACACGAACCGTCTCCATGTAAACGGGGCCTTAGAGTCTGAGGCTTTCATCATGTGATCATCAAAGAGACCAATGAGTGATCATGCAGACACGCTATGGGGGTTATTCCCTATCTTATCCCTAAGAGCGTGGTCTTTACATTTGAGAGCATCATTTATTGATTTCACGTTCAGATGATGTTTTTATATATTAACTGTGTTGTAAATGAAACAGGTGAAGTATATGTAGCCTAATCGAGCTGTGGAGGGCCGGAGTTTATAAACCAAAGAGTAGCCGCCCTTACGGGACGCTCTAATAAGTCAAGCGAACGCACCCGCAAGGACACCAGGCCTCCTATTGGCTGAGGGATTTTGACAGGGTTGTTGCGCAACAAATCCAAGAGCAGAGAAGAAATCTGAGAGCAGACATTTGACGAGCGCACAGAAGCAGCCTGAGTGCGAGGAGAAGGTTTTAAACTGGAACACGGGACATCTGTAAGCAGCAATATACCTGAGTGCAAGCTACAGTTTGAGCAGAGAGAGCCAATCAGAGCGCAGGAGCTGTTTGAGTGTGAGGAGGACAGGGTTTGAGGGAAAGAAATACATCATCTGAACGTGAAATCAATCAATTATGCTCTCACATTGAAAGACCACGCTCTTGAATAAAGATAGGGAATAACCTCCATAACACGCTTTAGTTTTAAATTACATAAAGTTAAGGTTTTATATCAAAGCCAGGTCTCCTGATGTTCTAATTGGTTACTGATACAGGAAGTTACATTTAAATGTGGTTAACGGTGGGACATTACTCTTAATTGTACCCACTAATTGATATGTTAGCGAGGTAATAACAGAACCCTAACCCTCTGATTGGTTAATGGCATTCTCACCTCATTGACTACACATCATTTCCACTAATTGATTAATGGTGGTTAATAACCCGGAATCTGGGTCTCTGATTGGTTAACGACACTTTGAAAAAGACTCCTTATTGGTTAACGACATTCTGAAAAGGAATCCTGACTCTCTGATAGGCTAACGATTTAGAATCACAACTATCGGATTGGTTAATGATGAGGAATCCTGACTCTCTGATTGGTCGCTTTGTTTTTTCAGGCCTCTCTGCAGAATCTGGTGCATCCTTTTTCGACGTGGTGAAGAACGCACCGGAGCCTCAACTGGTCGCCACGCCACATCCTGAAGCAAAAGAGGTACACACACACACACACACACACACACACACACACACACACACACACACACACACACACACACACACATATATACACACACAAACACACACACTGAGGCAATTATTTCTTTTGTGAGAATGAAAGACGTCAGTGTGATGCAGATCTGAGAATATATGGTGACGTGAGGGTTTTATAACACACACACACACACACACACACACACACACACACACACACACACACACACACACACACACACACACACACACACACACACACACACACACACACACATACACCCAAACACGTGTAAGTGCATGCTTGGAAAAACATTTAAACACCCATGGCTGCAGACACACACACACCTCAAGATGCTCATGTACATTGTCACACACACACTATGTCCTACTTTCATGACTCACTGGCTTTTCATTAATCTGCTTGTTCCCTTATGGAGTCGCTGTCACACACACACACACACACACACACACACACACACACACACACACACACACACACACACACACACACACACACGCACACACTCAGGTCACATGGGGACAGAGGTGCTGCAGGGAGAATATTGAGTTTAAGGGAGAGAGACCTTTACACAGGGAGGGTGTATATAAGAAGAGGACATACACACACACACACACACACACACACACACACACACACACACTCACACTCACACTCACACTCACACACTCACACTCACACTCACACACACACACTCACACTCTCACACATTGATTTTTGGACAAAACATTTCAAGCCGTGAGTTTGACATTTTGTCCGTTGCCATCATGGCTTATTGGAAACAGGAAGTGACCATATTTGGACGGCCGTGTCAGAATAAGATTTTAATTGCAGAGGAATTTGCTTTGATGTAAAATTATGCAAATATTAACAAAATAAGAACAAATTATGGGATGAAAAATATGCAATATATTATAAAATAAAAAAATTATAATAAATATAACAAGTACATAGAAAATATTAGAACATTTAAAAATGTAAATATACCAAAAATAATAAATGACAAATTACTGGGAAAAAATAGAATATATCGTAGTTGCTCCTGTGTTAAAGCAATGAGAGCTTCATGTGGAGTTTGCACACTTCAACACACACACACACACACACACACACACACACACACACACACACACACAGCGGGGGTCCGTGTTATTCTAATGTAGCTGTATGTTTACCGAAGTGATGTTCTCTCATGTTCAGCCTCCATAATTAAACAACTCATGAATAATGAATGAGCTGTGCTAAAACACCTAGCACACACACACACACACACACACACATGCACACACACACACACACACACACACACACACACACACACACACACACACACTGATGAGATGATGTTGAGTATTCTCTCTGTACAGCAGGAGATTAAATATGAAGCAGGAGGAACAGGAAGTGTGTTAAGTGTTCGTTGGAGAAACACACAAGATAATATAATATAATAAAATATATAGAGGGAGCTCCTACTAACGGTGTGTGTACTTGGTTTTAATTTTCATGATTCATTTTTCATCAGAAAATAGTTTTAATTTGTGTTTTGGATGGAAAAAACAATCAAATAATCAACAAGGACATTTTTGAATTTTGTAAAACATATTTATTTTTGTATTTTATATTTCTGAATTATGTATTTTATGATTTAAGTAAATAAAAATTAAAAATTAAAATAAATATTTGTAAATGTTTGACCAAATTCCATACGTTTAGTTGTTTAAACCACACAGTAATAATTATTTGTTCCTCCTCCAGGTGTACGACCAGATGCTGCAGCGCTACGCCCGATTGGAGGAGAGAGTCCTGCAGAAGTCCCGCCCCTGAGCCCCAGCAGCCAATCAGATCTGTCAAAAACCTTTCAGACACTGAACATGAACATTTGACATTTATTTATCTATAATTATAAACTGATTAAAACTGCTATTATACTTTAAATTAAAATCTTTTTTCGCACACACACAAAGTATTATTAGTAAACAAGTGTTTTTGTTCCTTATTGCTCATTTAACACGTTCATTTAAAGCACAATTTTATAATGTAAAGGATATTTTTGAATGTCTAATTTTCAATAAATGATGTCACAAACAGCACTTTGGTTATTATTACATTGGAGGAATTATATTTGGAGATTTAATTAATAAAACTGTATTTAAAAAACGATTCAGATGCATTTTAAAGCGCTGTTAAAAATAACACAGTCCAATAAATGATAATAAAATGATAAAACCTGTTTAATTAAACACTCAGAAGCCAGACTACGAAGAGGGATATATAGAAATAACCCTGGCATACAAAGCTTCATACAGTATAAGCATTACATAACTAAAGTTAAAATGTAAATACTAAAATTATAAATAGATACAGACGCTTCAGAGAGCTCTAAAAAATAGGGTAAAATCACATAATTAAATGTCATTTATTAAT